CTAGTGTACACTAGTGTACAGTGTACACTAGTGTACTCTAGTGTACACTAGTGTACTCTAGTGTACACTAGAGTACACTAGTGTACAGTGTACACTAGTGTACACTAGAGTACACTAGTGTACAGTGTACACTAGTGTACTCTAGTGTACACTAGTGTACTCTAGTGTACACTAGTGTACATTAGTGTACTCTAGTGTACACTAATGTACACTAGAGTACACTAGTGTACACTAGTGTACACTGTACACGAGACATAGATCTACCACAGCGTGAAGCCATGATCGAGACAAGACGACGTTCCGTTAGTTTTGGTAGAGATTTGACAAGACGCACTTCTGTTTCCGTCGTGCAACATTTCGTTTCCCTTTGCTTGACGATGCCTTCTCATAAGAAAACGAAAGAACAGCGAACAGTGGCTGATTGACTGCGTTTGGTTCGTCTCTATCGTGAGAGTGGAAAACGTCCGCTCGAAAATTTGTGAAGTTGAACAATGTTCCGGAGACGACGTTCCGCGGCTGGCTAAGGGATGCTGAAGCTGGCAAACTCGCCGATGCTAATCCGTCTGGTCCACAGGGAGTCCGCAACAGAAGTGCACCCAAGCCGGTCGTGGTGTTGAGGACATTGTGGAGCTCGGTGCCATCTCTGAATCGCAATGTCTGGAGGCCTCCAAGACATGGGTAGCCATTGAAGATGACCCGCTTGTGAGAGACGTAGAAGTTGACGAATTGATCGAGCATCTGGAGACAGCTACAACTGCAGATGAGGAGTCAGATAATCAGTTGGATGATGATGCGGAGTCTTCAGCAATGGCTGCAGAGGAAGCGGCAGCAGCACCAGCAGCTAGAGATTCTGAGATTTGTCTTTGACTTCATTGTCTCGCATGTTGACCACATCATCACTAAAGTGTCCAGGAAGATGTTTCTTCTCCTGCGACTACAGTCAACTTTGCGAATAACGACACTCAGCGGGGCATCAGAAAAGTGTCCTTATAACCGAAGTCACATTTGAATGTATGTGAACCCGTGTTTTGTATACTTCCTCCGCGTCATCGAAATTGTCGCAGTTTGACTAGTGACTTGTCACTTGTTACTGAGAACTCCATAAGCTAAGCCATTCAAAACTTATTACACAGTACGATAGTCTGAAGACTAGAGTAACGTTCCAGGGCAGTTGGACTGAGAGTTTTCATGCAGAGATGAAGTCCTCGTCGCTGATGTCAATGGACGCAAAAATATCGTTCCGAAATATTTCAAGGAAGGTTGAAAGTTGGTCGCGCCTCATCTCAAACGCTTTGAATTTCTCCACAGGACAAGAGCTGCTATGCTTGTCGTCTGCTACCTCTTGATGATTTCTACTTCACCACCAACGAAGCCTAGTAAGAATACACGATCGTTGCGAGGTCGGTTGATTACCGTCGGCGGAATCACCTCGATCTTGAAATGAACTTTTTTTAGCCGTGGCATGCCCATTTATTTTAGCTGTGTGGTCACAGCTCATGCAGGTAAGTGTACTACCGGTACTAGTACTAGTATCACCTCCAACGCGCCCTCTTTTTCAGCATCACTGGTATACAATGGTACGGCACCTGCGCGTGCATCACTAGCACTACGTGTAGAGTCTACACGGCTCTTGCAGCTACAATCATGTACTGAGTGTCTCAGCCAGAGCGACAAATTTTATCGCTGTTGCAGGCATTTAGTTTGCCGACCCCTCGATGTTTTTCCAAGCGCTTCCACTTGTTCCACGAAGTCATCCTCACCCCAGCTAAGGTAAAACAGTGATGGGGCTTGAGTGAATGGCCATAAGCACGAGAAATGTGCAGGCTGCAACGTTTGACTGATCTCAGCGAGTCGAAATTACCAGCGCAGCGACATCAGCGAAGAAATTACGTCTAGTTCAAAAATTCCAGCTTCCAATAACAGAAAATAGAACTTTGCCGTCACCCTATACTGATGATTATCGCCTATGTCCGATTCCTTGCCTCTGGTACGAGTGCTGGTGAGTAAACACCCCGCTTTATATCAAAAGTCAAACTGCGACAATTTTGATGACGCGGAGGAAGTAGTATGACATGGATATCAAAAATGAAGCTCTTTTCATGCTCTACTGTATAAGCAGAAATTTTGGCGGTGTAATATTTTCTGTATTCTCCAAAATCGGCGGTTTGGTGGAGGGAAATTTTCGGTAAACCCCGTTTTCCAGGTAAGTGTACTAGTACTACCGTAAAATCCCGCCAGAGCGCCCCGTCTCTCCCATCCGCCCCTCCCTGACTTCTTGTCAGGGACGTGATTGATTGTATCCTCGTATGACTCTGTCGCAGTCTGTGCTGCCGTACTGCACTGCAGACGCGTGCTCGACCCCGTTGGAAATGTACGCAACAGTGCCCACCCTCCTGACCAGGGATCGCACAAACCCTGCGTTTTGTCGGGTCTGCACGACTCCTGGCTCTTGACCTTTGGTCGGTGTACGAGATGCACGAACAGTTTTCGTAGTGTGAGTACTTTTTCATGTAGCACTGAATGCGGCAAGTAGGACTCGCCCATCCGCCCCTCCCCACCTGAAGCGTCGAGGAGGTAGGGGCGCTCTGGCGGGATTTTACGGTACATGTATTCAGTACTGGTTGTAACGAAATTTTCGGTGCGTTTTATTTTCGGTAAAAATTGTCTGCACCGAAGTTACCGAAAATAAAACACCACCGAAAAGTTCTGCTTTTACAGTATGTCAATGTGTACTTTATTTTCATATTACCATTGAAAGAAACTATAAAGTCAATATGCAAGGGAAATAGATTGAAAAATTAGCCTTTTGGTAACGATCTACAGGGACATGTACATGTACATGTCTGATGATTACTGTACAATCATGTACAATAACATGGCTGTAGTTGTACTGATCACTCCAACTATTTTGAAGCAAATAATAAAAGCACCCCCCCCCCCCTTGGCTCCATCTTCTTGCATGTTTGCCTTTATACACGCCATGGGTCCTGGTACTTCTGCATGACAGGTACAGGTAGACTCCCTCTAATTCGAATACGGTATAATTCGAACGTTCCGTGTAATTCGAACTTTTTCGTCGTACCGATCTTCTGCAAGTCACTTCAAGTCAAAATCGAATGCATAATTCGAAGTACGAAAAGTGTGCCGGTTGGATAATTCGAACCCAGTCTTCGTACAGAAGAGCTGTTTACAGTACATTGGCTATGTCCTTTGAACGCTTATTTCGAAGTGAGATTGAGTTGCTATCCTTGTAATTCGAAGTTCATTCTTTTCTCCTTCTCTAGCCAAGAGTAGCTCAAAAATCGATCGATGGTCCGCTGCAGGATCGACTATAGCGTTCAAGAAACCCACCTTCTCTCAAAATTTGATTCAAGCCCGTGCGAGGCAAATTGCAAAGCGGGTTTGATTGAAGACGACTTCTTCCAGGTGGCTGACTCTCTTCGCGGATCTTGATGGCCTTTCTTACCGCGCCAGCTCGTGCGCAGAGATGTTGGCGCACAACAACACTATTGTCGTAAATATTGTCTATGCCTTTGCTCCACTTCCGTTCTTCAGAACGACGTGCTGCTGTCCAACGGCCTTTCATGACGCGGATTAGGCAGCGCAGTTCTTTTCCGTTGAAATTGTTTCAGGAAAGCTGCAGTGACTGAAAACTTACTTCTTCACTAGAAGATGAAGATAATGTCAAAATGATTTTGTGTCGATCCAGTGTTTTGATGATCCGTTGTACATGACCGCGTACCGGTACGACCACCTATGTTTTTTCGTTGATGCAAATAAAAAGGTGCAAAAAATATTCAGCATGCGATTTCAAGCATTTTGACATACATATCAGTGCATGAGGCTGCATTTGGATAATTAGAAGTTCCGGATAATTCGAAGTTAGGGCCTGGCAATTTGAGGTTCGAATTAAAGGGAGTCTACCTGTACTTGAAATAGCTGTCAAAAGCCCAGAACGTCGTTATTCAAGCAGTGAAAATGACCTCGGGGAACTAAAAGCACGCTGCTATTCGCGAATTGTCGTTATTCAGATGGTCGTTGTATCCGAAGTTAAATGTATACAGTTAGATGGGACTTTGTTCTGGGCATGAAAATTCTGTCGTTATTCGCGAATTGTCATTATATCCGCAGTCGTTATTACCGAAGTTGACTGTGCGCAATTCCTTAAACACTTCTGCTCTCTCGTCCATCTATCTATCTTACATCCGCCGTATTCTTGAGTATGCTTGCACTGTCCCCTCACCCCTCCCCACAACTCTCAACGACTGGCTTGGGCGCATCCAACGGCGCGCCGCTCGCCTCTGTTTGCATCTCCCCCTCTTTGAACAAAGAACCCACTCTGTGCTGCTGCTGCACCGGCTCAAATGCCATCACTCAGCAGCCACCGTACCCTCTTCCATATTCTGCTTGCACATAGCCTGCACCACAGATATGCACCACCACACCTTCTTGCAATTCACCTACCCGAATACAACCCATTCGCACACTCTGGTTCCCCCGAACCTTTGAACTACCCACAACACGCACAAACCGGCTAAGAGACTCCCCCATCTATGCTTCTCTTGATCTCTTTAATAGCATCTCACTCAGCCTCTGGCAAATCAACCCCAGACGAGATTTCAAAGCAAACATCCTACCTCTTGTTGTCTCTTCCGTATGTACCTGCTCACATTGCTCAGTACATCTATAGCCCCATTGTGCCCAGTCTATGCAATAAACTCCTTATTACCATCGCTACTATTTCAGCAAGCAACTAAACTTTGATTTCTCTGTATCCGATCCCCGTGCCTGTAATTCTTTTTCTCTTATTGGCCACAGGCCATCGTGAGAATAAAAAGATTTCAACAACAAGAATAGAAAGTGGTAGACGCATAGCAGAGATGGCTGCTGATCATGCTTATGAAGCATGATGGCGTCTAAAGCTTATCTATGTTTGGTGTGATTCGAGCCTTAGCTTCCCACTCAGCCGACTCAGTATGTGCACTATCTTTCCTTTGCAGCATTTAACGATACCGCCCATTTCATATATCCTTACAAAAAGATGACCTGCGTAGAGCTAAAGATCTCTGGTAAAGCAATGCCTGCCATCGACTACAATGATTGCGAATATATAAATACGGGAAGTTACCGCCCAGGTCCACGTTGCAAGGCTACATATGGAATCGTTAGCTTGAACTATAACGAAACCAAATATTTTAGTAAACCAAAGGTAACCGGACGCGGCATTTCTGGAATGACGTGCTGCAGAATTAGTAAGTACATGTACCGGTATCTACTGTTTATGCATGTTTATGTATAGGAAGAAAAGAGGAACAAAGACCTACAAGTTATGCTATAATATCCACTAACACCAGCAGTTATTTTACAATCAGCTCTTGTGATAACATTGTCAAGTGTCTGCTGGTGTTAGTGGACATTATTGCGTAACTTGTAGACCATTGATTCTCTTTTCTTCTTATAAATTAATCCTTGGCTCTCCATGTGAGGCTAGCATGTTTTATGTATCTATTATTGCACGATTAAAGAGGTCAATATATTTCATATATTGACCGATTATGAGGGCAATAATAGATTTATAACGACACGGCATACCCACAGCTGTTCACGCGCAGGCACTTATAAATATGGCGTCGTTCGGTGCGATTTATGTAACATTGTGCGAATAGTACAAATACGCGATGAGTTTGCGTTTTTGGAAGAAACTCATGTCGATCCTCGCGTGGTTCCACGATTTGGGGCGCGAAACCAAGAGAAAAGTTTTGAAAGCGCTCGAGCGAGATTGTCGACTTTCCGGCAATTTGAGAGAGAAAGAGGGTGGAAAGGCGTCCTGGCCTGCCCAGTTAGCTGTCTTTCCGCTTCAAACTTGCTCCAACTACTCCTGGCAGTCTGGAGATAGATCTCGCCAGTGATTGTTAGCCTCTGCTTGGCGTGCTCGCGTGTACAACATTCAAGTTAGACATTTCGTAATCGTTCAACGCACAATAGCTTAGATATCACAATTTCAAGCTCACTTGGCCGGCTGCTGTCATCTTCTACAATATCCCACATGCCGACTAAGCAACTTACAGCAGGAAGCAGCCTTCTGCACTCAACAACAACTAAAAGGCCACACCATTTGTCTTCCAAATCAAGAGAAAACAGGCTCCTGACTCGTCGCGCGTATTTAGAAGTTCACGCGCGTATTCTAATGAAACTTGGGGAAGACAACCAGAGGATAGTCCTCTACCTGGGAAAATATCGATCTAAGCTGGGAAAAATTGGGAAGGGCTTCTCGGAGCCGAGTTTGTCAGCGACGACACAAGGAGTATTCCAGAATGAAGCCAAAGTCACACGACACAGAACAAATGTTTCTTGAAGGAAAAGCAGTCATGTGAGGTACGAGCGGAAAGCTTGAAACAAGACGCAGATGATCAGCGTGTTCCCCAGGCTGTCCGGGCCAGGGAGTCTTAAAATACCGGGAGGCGACACGCCACACTTTTCACGATCCGAGGATTGCTGCACTCGACCCGCGAAATTTGATGCGTGATTGAAACGTCGTCGTCACCTTCTTTTCTCAATTGTTTTTGCTATGCTTCGAGGCCTATTCTGGATCTCCAGAGTGAAAGCTGGTTGTTTCTGATACGTACCACGCATTACCTTAGGTTGAGCCGTGGCTTTTAATTTTTTTTGGGAAGTTCACTGCTTTGGAGACGACGGAATGTCAACGTAAGTTATTCACGAAATGTACTCAAATTTGAATTGAGTAAGTGCGAATGACACCCTGTTTTCGGAATAGTTCTCCACTAAACACACCATGCCCATGACCCCTTCATGTTGTCCAAGTTCCATTCTCGGTTTGTGTGAAGTTTCGAGATGAAGATCGATGATGCACTCACCTTTTCATGGAAGGGAAAAAAGTAGCATATCAAACAGAATCCATGCAGCATTTGATGCCACTATCCTCATTCTTCTGCATTCAATGTGTTTCACATTATGGTCCATGAACTACACACAATATTTGTCATTTCTTAACTGTTCATAGCTGTTCATACTTGAAGTAACTGTGTTCTGAGCACATTGCCTTCAGGAAACGTAAGACCGAGTCGCCTGACCAACTGAGCAAAGTTCTCTGCGACGAAAGTCACACTATCCGCAAATGCACTCAAGGCGAATACCCGTGAATACCCTGTATACTGCTTGATCCACTTATCACAGAAGCATACACGCACACACATACCATGCATACGCCCGTCGCAAGAGAAGAACGCAAGTCTGCAAATGCACTGGATGTGCACCCACAGATTTTCTCTTATAGCAACGATAGGGAACAAGATCTGAATGAGACAGATCAAGACTTGCAACAGATAACTGGTATTTTACGACTCCCTGGTCCGGGCTGACTAATCTCCAAATCCAGGGGAAACCATGGCCTACTCGTGTTCGGACGATTTGAAAATTCAAAATTTCTTGCCATTGAAGCCCAATCGAGACTTTCGGCAGCCATATTGTTAAGTGGCGTGAAATCGCACAAAAAAACCAGCCATGTACCCTGAATACTATTGTAATAGTACATGGTATGTATATATTATGCCGTTTACATTGGACATTACTTCTCTACATATAAAACAGAAGTTTTCAGTGTCAATTGTAGTATGTTCCTCAAGTTCTATGACTGAGAATCTGACAGTTTGAGTTCAAATCCCAACATTTGGCTTCAGATTTTTCTTCTTTCAGTTCTGATTTTTTTCTATGTTGAGGAAAAAGTTCTATATTGTAAGTCCTCGGGCTAAGTGGTCAATAATAAGTGGTCAATATAAGCGGTCAATATACAGTCTGTATCGGCAAGAGTACATAAACCAGAGTGTGCAACTCAGGATGGTTCCTGTGGGAGCGTAATTCGTGCAGTACGTCATTTCTGAGAGCATGGTAAGGGACCATCGCAAAAGTTCGCAGAAGCCCCTGAAACGAAGAGCATACGTTGGGGGGGGGGGGGGGGGGGGGAGGGAGTCGGTGTCGAAAATCGCAAACCGGGCTTCAATTAAAAAAAGTATTGACGACATGTAGGAGCTGATATAGATTAGCATGCCATCACAGCCGGCGTAGATCGCTTGTCAGGACGCGTAGTCCATTCATGCAACTGCGCGTGTCGTGTAATGCTCAAAGGATACAAGTACAACTGCATAGCTCTAGATCTAGCTGTTCTCGTTCTTAGATCACCCACTGCAAGGTGATAATTATCATCGTTGCATTTAGAAAGTGCTGTACATTGTTACACACTGATACAACAATGCTTGTGTAGTACACCGGTATTATAATAATTATTATGTGTGAGCATCCAAGTGAAATAATGAAGCCCATATTGTGACTGTCGTTTCGTTTGAGTGGGGAGGGAGGGGGTCAGGCCCGAAACTAACGGTCTTCGTTTCGGGGGCTTCTGCAAACTTTTGCGATGGTCCCTAAGCCACAGGTACGGTGAAAAGTTGCGTAACCAGTCGCGGTGGTGCAGTTCACTGAGTTTGTCCTGATTTCGGTTTTTGATACGGATAGCCTGTTGACTTTACTTGCCGGTGGATGTACGCAGCGTACACAGTCACACGAAACACCGAAATCCTGAAACAGGACGTCTAAAATCAAGCAAACTGGGCTGATTTCCCGGCTCTGAAACATGAAAAATTGAGCTGTACGCAAGTCGCGGCTTGGATGACCTCATCAGGGTGACGTAGTGCACGAACTGCGCTGTTTCAGATCTGAAATGCACAGTTGCACACTCTGGTTTATGTACTCTTGGTATCGGCTATAGCGTACCCTTTTGATTTCCGTGATTTTATCACTATAACCGATGCATCAATATTATGCGATACGATGGGTTTTTTTCTTTTTCCTTTTTTCGATCGACACATGAAAGGCAAGGAAATACTTCCAGCATGGCGTTTTGACAAATGAGCATGCTGCATAGTTGACAGTGCCCACATTTCCATAAAAAATTCTGTTATGTGCATGTACATGTATCACTATAAAAATAAGCAACGTGAAGAAAGTAAAAAATAGGGCCTTTGATATTATTGCTACATGTATTTTAAATTTGAAGAAGCGCTGAGGCTTCCTGCAGCTTCATCTGTGAAAAGAATTCGGGTGGACACACCCATTCCCATAGCGCTGCACATCACATCCGAAACCACCCGAATTCTTTTCATTTATTTTAAAGTTATCGCTATAGCCGATAATAATATAGTGTGTTATGCATGTTTTGATTCCTTGTTGCCATCATAATAATTATCCGATAATATCATTACATCCGATAATATTGGTTATAGTGATATTTTTACTGGATAAAATACGTTTTGCTTTTGATATTTCGGACCAATATCACTGTAGCCGATATATTATATCCGGTCACTCTATAGCCGATCCAGACTGTATGCTGATATTTGACCGCTTAGAGATCACAAGTTTCTGTGGGGGTCAATAATAGGAGAGTGATAATCTAATTTATCACTCTCTTATTATTGACCCCACAGAAACTTGTGATCTCTAAGCGGTCAAATAGCCTATTTATCACGATTCCTTTGCCCGAACCCCAAAATTTGAACCTTTAGGAGCATTTGTACTATAGTGTACATAGGATGTTGCCTATTTTGGGTACAAGACTGTAAGAACAGCAGGGTTCAACAGCTGCAGCACAGTGGTTGGGTGGAATAAGGGGTTGCTTGAGATTCATACTGTTGTGGGTTCGTATCCTGCTTGTTCTCTTCCTTGGTCTTTTTTCTTTCACATGTTCTTTTTGAAGTGGAGAGAAAAATTCTAAGTCCCTCCCTCCAAAGTCGAAAGATTGCAATGCCTAAAGCGGGATTCACAGAAGCTTTTTTGCGATGCGACACGCGATGCGTTGCGATCTGCGATGGACGCGTGCGATGCGAACTCGCGAAATACCATTCACAGAAGAAGTCAGCGAGGCGACAAACAAAGTCTTGCTGATTTGGGTACGTTGCCATGATATTCGAGCGGTTTGATACAACTTGTACAAATTTATAGGCAACTCTTGAACCTTTGTACAACTTTGCTGTAGAAAAGGTCAAAATCGTACGCCAAATCGCTTGTCGCATTGCATCGCAAAAGTTGAGCCAAGCTCAACTTCTGCGATGACCTGCGATGGCCCAGTTGCGGCAGTTGCGTGGGGTGCGACATGGCTGTGATTTGGGGTTTTCCCGGTTTTGCGTCTGTCGCATCGCGTGTCGCATCGCAAAAAAGCTTCTGTGAGTCCCGCTTCAGTGGTCGATACAAGCGGTCGAGGTAACGGCGATATTGGTAATATAGGACCAATCAAGGATCACAAGAATTAGTGGAAGTCGATATAGAAGAGTGATAACAGCATATATTGACCGCATATATTGACCGCTTATATTGACCACTTATTATTGTCCACTTTAATAGCCCGAGGATGTAGAACTTTTCCTCAAAAATCAGAACTGAAAGAAGAAAAATCTAAAGCCAAATGTTGGGATTTGAACCCAAACTAGATAAAGCAATTAAGTGAAAAATTCCACAACGTTTTCTTGTGACTATCATCAGTGGAACATCGTCACATGATAAGAATCACTAAAACAACCAGTTATATAGCTAGAATAATAATCACAAACAGCAGCTCGCGTCAATTACACCAGCAGTGTGAGTTTATGCATTGAACATGTCGATGTCAAATTCCTCCTCCTCACTTCCACTCTCATCCTCGGCATCCTCCGCGCCCAGATTTCGATCTTAGACGTTCCGGAATTTGTTCATTTTAAAATTAGTTTTATACATGTACATGGTCATGAGTGGACATTTAGTTTTATTCCTTGTTTGATAGTGTGCATGTATAACATGTTGAACGGTTGGCAGGATGTTACAAGGCGCAGAACGCACTGTCTATGTCGAAAACTAGACTCTGTGCCGAAGGCTATCCATCATGTACATCAGAGAGCACTATAAACCGGGGGTGAAACGAGTGCCAAAATTGAGGACTCGGGTACTCTTTGAAAAAAACCCGAGCGAGTATAAAGAGTATTTTACTGACAACATAAAACAATGTACTGCACACACTCTCGTAACACTGAACGTACTACACCTGATACACATGTAGTCTTGCATGCAGCCTAGTGCAGGAAATTGACTGAAGTACTGTCTTTTGCTGGTAAGTAGGGACAAACAATAATTTCGCGCTTGCATGGGTTATCAGTACTGGTCAGAGTAACAGAAATGCTTGATGTACATGCATACAATACACTGTGCATAGGATACTTCGAGTATTTTGCGAAACGAGTACTCGCTCGTTTCACCCCTACTTAAAGCCTTTTTTTATTACTCCCTGATGCACAGTGCATGCAGTCCGCTATCCCAACACAAGTTACCACAGCTCCTGTTGTAGCATCGCTATCATCGACTCTGGCGGTGGGCGTCAAAAGGTCAAAGGTGTGGGTGCACGTCCGCTTGCGATTGTTTTGGGTTTTCCTGCACATTGTCCTGTTTCTTTCATGCGATTGTGTGCCTTCCTGCAGTTGTGCAGCCTAACTGCAACTCAAACCCGTGCCCTGATCATAGCACATGCAGTGAGGACCAACATAACTACACCTGCACCTGCGTGTCAGGATATCAGGTGGTCACAAAAATCATGCCAAAAAGGAATATAAGTACATGTCAGGATATCGATGAGTGCCTCACATTCGAAGCCAGCCCTTGCAATGCAAACACAGAGGTCTGTGTCAACACACCCGGGTCGTACGGATGTGAGTGCAGCGCAGGGTACGTGAACACGACCGGCACGTGTAAGAAAGCGCAAAGGTGTGATCATTCGTCTCCATGCCACCAGTATGCAGATTGCGTGGATACGCAGGGCAGCTATACATGTACCTGTATATATCCTTACCTGAAAGGCGATGGCTTCACCAACTGTACAGGTGCGTATGAATCTGCTGCAGGGGGACAAGTGTCAAGTTACTTGCACGACATCTCCTGGGTACCTCTTGGGCAGAGCTAAACTGGCACAAGTGTGCAATGGGATGGGGATGCCGCAAAGTCGTGTATAAAAGCCGCTGCTTACGTTACTTTTTGTGGGGAATTGTTGCATGCTTCTATACAAGACCGGTATTTCTATGTATGGCAACACTAAAACCAGGCTTATGTGCCGACAGTGCATCTCAGAAAACCAGGCTTGCATTCAAGACAGGTATTTCTATGTATGCCAACACTAAAACCAGGCTTATGTGGCGACAGTGCATCTCGAAAAACCAGGCTTGTATTCAAGACAGGTATTTCTATGTATGCCAACACTAAAACCAGGCTTATGTGGCGACAGTGCATCTCAGAAAACCAGGCTTGCATTCAAGACAGGTATTTCTATGTATGCCAACACTAAAACCAGGCTTATGTGGCGACAGTGCATCTCGAAAAACCAGGCTTGCATTCAAGACAGGTATTTCTATGTATGCCAACACTAAAACCAGGCTTATGTGCCGACAGTGCATCTCGAAAAACCAGGCTTGCATTCAAGACAGGTATTTCTATGTATGCCAACACTAAAACCAGGCTTATGTGGCGACAGTGCATCTCGAAAAACCAGGCTTGCATTCAAGACAGGTATTTCTATGTATGCCAACACTAAAACCAGGCTTATGTGGTGACAGTGCATCTCGAAAAACCAGGCTTGTATTCAAGACGGACTTCTAAATGAGACCGGCTTGTATTCAAGACGGACTTCTAAATGAGATCGGCTTTTATTCAAGACACCACGGTATATACATACTTGTTGGTGCTGCCAACCTTCAGGCTGCAGACTTTGTGTTGGCTGAAAACTGGCCGTATTGCATTGCAACTCAGAGTAACAGCAAAGGGGTAATCTGTTTTCCATTTCAAACTTGTGTACAGGCACATTGTACATGTCATGTGACTGCTACTAGGGTTACGGCCTATCAGCGCCCCTTCTCAGTAATGGTTCTCCATGCAAGCCTGCTCAAGGGGGCGGTTATTACAGGGCATTGTCTGCTGTTTGACCAATTGACCATCAAAGAGCTTTTGCCAGTGCCCATGTACAGTGCTGTTGAGCGCCGAAGAACTGAGCGCCAAAGAACGTAGCGCCGTAGAACGTAGCGCCGAAGAACGTAGCGCCGTAGAACGTAGCGCCGAAGAACGTAGTGCCGAAGAACGTAGCGCCGAAGAACGTAGCGCCGAAGAACGTAGCGCCGAAGAACGTAGCGCCGAAGAACGTAGCGCCGAAGAACGAGCAGGCTAGAATTTCACCAAGCACAGCATACCAATGTATACACGGTGACTCAACTGTGCATAGGCTGCAGTACATGAAAATAAGAGCGGTCTAGGCTAGGAGACTGACCCCAGTTCTTTGGCGACCGGCAGTACTGTAACAAAATGTGTTCTTTACCTCGTACTAGGGCACTACTGGCATCAATGTCAGTCCATATTGCTCTGCCACTCAGTTAGTAATACATAGCACAGGGATGAATTTATTGTCATATTTTTGCATAGCAGTTTGTGCTATACAAAATCACAATTGTGTGGCAGTCTTTGATTTTGATTAGCATTTTTTCTTTGAAGGTTGGGTGTTTACCACATTGTCCTTCTTGAGAGCGATGCCTGAAAACCCATTTGCAAAAAACCGACTGAATCATACATGTACACGCAGATTAAGAGGGCCTGCACAACATATACTGCACTGTATGCATGCTACTTGACAGCACAGGCTAGGCATGGATAGTCTGTATGTATCTCAGTTTTCTGCGAGTCACGGCGACTTTTGAGTAGCAGTTGATCGATTTTGCATCGCAAACTGCGATGCGATACAGGATAAATTCATCCCTGTAGCATGTTATGGAAAGAGAAAAGGACCTATAAGTTACTAGTTATAATTAATAGTCCACCAAGGTAACGAGATAACACACAGTCAGATAGTCACCTCATTGGACCTTTCCGCACCCGAGCCTCCGTTGGAAGGTTGTTGGT